TCTTATCGGCCAAAAATATTTGTCACCACGTGCATTGCACGTGCACTTTACTAGTAGCTTAAAGTCCTCCGTCAGCGAGTTCCATGCATAATTTCTTGACAGAGCCATTACAGATTTCGACCCAACACTCTCATGAGCCTCCTCCATTGGATAATGGAATACACATAAACACAGTCCCACATTTTCTGAAAGAACCCATAATAAGCTTCCCTCCATTTCTTCTTAAAAAACAATACAGAGAGGACAGCATAAAGTCCAACAGCGTACCCAAATGATAGGAATACATAAAACCAATCAATCTCTCCCTTATTGCTTTTTGGGCCTTGAATCTGCGCGTGTGTCGGGACAGGGGCATTACCATCATTTTTGCAAGAAATCCTTAGTGGAAGGCCACAAAGATTGTTGCCAATGAAGCTCGACTCCTTGAAGGTCCCAATTTGGGTGCTTTGTGGGATTCTCCCCGTCAAGTGGTTATGAGACAGATTTAGGCTATTCAAAAAAGATATGGTTGTGATGCTACCTGGAATGTTGCCGGACAGTGAGTTCATTGAGAAATCAAGAGATTCGAGTGCCTTCATGTTTCCAATGTCGTCTGGGATGGATCCCGTTAGACGATTTCGGGACAGGTTCAATGATTGGAGTTGCACTAGATTTGTTATCTCGATTGGGATATCACCAGACAGGAAGTTGTTTGAAAGGTTAATACTTATAACCAAATAGAGATTGATGTCGTAGGTGCACTCTCTTCCCTTTATCGAAATTGATACGCTTTCCTGAAAAGTCACTAGAAATGCAGTATCCAAACTTATATTATATAAATATTGTGGCTTATCCAAAATCCTTTTAGTGGTCATCGTGGTAAGATTGTTGAGGCATTGAGGAAGCTTCCCTGACAGTTTGTTATTAGAGAGATCCAAGATTTGAAGAGAAGTGAGCTGACATATGGATGGACTAATTTCACCACTGAAATTGTTGGACTGAAAAATCAGAAATCTAAGATTGAAAAATCTTGTGTCAATCCATTTCGGTATGTCCCCACCAAGATTGTTATCAGTAAAGTCGATCTTCACTAGTCCAGTGCAGTTTTGCAATGAACAAGGTACATGGCCAGAGAAATTGTTGCCGAGGAGATTCAAAGACGCTAAATGTTTAAGAAATCCTATGGAATTCGGTATTCTTCCGGACAATTTGTTGTTGCTTAAGTCCAACACTGTCAATAGTTGCCATTTGATAAAACATTCGGGTAACTCTCCAGAAAGATGGTTCCCTCCAAAATTTATAAGCACTACATTGGATGAACTCATCACTGGATAGATACAAAGAAATTCTGACAAACCTCCAGAAAATGAGTTATTGTGGAGATGGAGTTCCAAGAATGAAGTTGTCATTAGTTTGGGCAGTGGACCACTAAACCTGTTGGAACTCAAATCAACAATTTTATAATCATGTACACTATCAGTAATGGATAAAATCTTTCCGTCGAGTTGGTTATGCGAAAGGTTGAGATATCTCAAACTCCATAACCAGCTGGGAACATTTCCATTGATTCCAGTAGACGATAAATCAAGTTCAGAGATACTCTCTTTCTAAGTCTCAAGCCATAACGGAATTCGAGAGTCTGATCCCACGTCCCAATACCCTAGATAAAGCGACTCTAGTTTGAATGGTGGAATCCAATTTGGGTTGACTTTCAAACTCAAGTGGTTTCCAGAGGCATACAAGACTTTTAAATTAGAGAGATTGGCAAAGTGGGTTTCAGTCACAACCCCTTGCAACATGTTATTCTCTATCCAAAGCATTCTCAAGTTCACAAGTTTCCCTATACTCTCTGGTAAGTTCCCCCTCAATTTATTATTATGCAAGCTTAAATTTTCAAGGGAAAGCAAGTTCCCTAATTCATCTGGAATTACACCAGAGAATGAGTTGTAGTCAAGACTCAAGGATCGAAGACTCCTAAATTCTCCAAATTGATGAGGCAGATGACCAGAGAGCTGATTGCCTGATAGCTCTAAGTCTTCCAGAGCTCCTAGAAAACAATCTGACATGTTTCCAAATGAATCCGATATCTCTCCCCCGAAATTATTACCAAATAAATTCAAGGTCTGAATATTGCACAAGTTTGCAATTTCTCTTGGTATTTTCCCAGAAAGTTGGTTTTGACTTAAATCAAGGGTACTGAGAGATGTCAGATTTGCTATGGAATTGGAAATCCCATCTCTGATAAACAAATTGGCTGCCAGACTCATATAGTAGAGCCACTGTGGAATGCTTGAATTCAAATAGTTATTGGAGAGATCAATGTCTTTGAGTTTTGTGGTATTGCTCATTGTTGGAATTGGGCCTTCCAATGTGTTGGAACTCATATCAAGATAGATAAGGTTGTTGAATTGAAAAATCCACGGAGGGATGATGCCGTAAGATTCGCCATCCAAGTAATTTGAGGATATATCAAGAATGGCTATATGAGAATGACTAATATTATTTACATCATTCAGAGGAGCCATATAATTAAGATTACATCCACTCAAATGCAACTCGACTAAAGAGTAGAGTTTAGTGATCACCTGCTGAGGCCAATTGGTTGCTCTGCTCAGGTTCACATGATTCATGCTTAGATACTCCAATTTCGAAAGCCCTGACAACCATTCAAGACTATCGACATCCAGCTTCGGCCCTGAATAGTCTCCTCCTCTGGTGTCCATAGTTTCCAAACTTAGAGTACGCAGATTCGAAAGATTCCCAATACTATGGGGAATCTTTCCGTAAAATCCAGTGAATGACATGTTCAAATACTCGAGGCTTGTGAGTGATCCAATGAAAGAAGGGATATTTTGGACAAAGCTGTTTCGACTCAGGTCTAGATATTTCAAATGCTTTAAGTTGAGCAAAGCAGGGTTTACTTTGCCACCTAAAGAATAG